GAGCTTTCATTGATCATTGGGTTTCTCGTTACGGTGTTCCATTCCTACTCCATTTTGACAAATGCGCAACTCTTGTGAGCCACCCCATCTCTCAGTTATGCCAGTTGATAGGAATCTGGAAAACACACTACCACGTACCACCCAGAAGGTAATGGTTTCGTTGAATAGCAAACAGAACCATCAGGGTCCTTCTAGAATCGTTCATTAATATGTTGTCGATTCGATGTTAAGATGATGCGATAAGTCAATTTTTCTTAGCCTATCGCACATCAGTGTATGGTTCCACAGGGTTTTCAACCGATACGTTACTTTCTGGGCATGAATCACGTCTACCTGATGGGATGCGAATTCCGTTGTTACCATGTGAGGTTCATGGCCACGTACCACGCATCATTATCTTCACAGTCGTTTTGCTGACGCGCATCTCCTAGTCAGAACCAATCTACAGAATGCCAGGAAATACCAGAAGGATGTATACGGGGACAAGCAAACGGGCCGGTGTATAAGCCTGGGAATCGTGTTTGTGGCTCCACCAGGAACATACAGCAACTTCCACCAGCCTTAGCAATAGCTCTACGAAGGTGTGTTTATTCGATCTCTTACCACCTTTATTTTACGTAAACTTTAGCGGCTCCAAGACGTTATAACAGTAAACTACAATCATTTGAAAGCAGAACAAACAACGATGCAACTGGACATCCAGTTTGTCAACCCGCTATTGCCGTCAGTCATTGTGAAGTGCCATCAAAAGGAGATGTAGCAAATCCATGTCCACAACCAGGCTCTGAGGACAGTGCCTCATGAAGAAGGGGAATAGTGCAACAGTATTAAAAATCATTGTATATAATGTTACTAAGGCAAATATGTTTTTTGTTGCAGGACAGCAAAGACTAAATTTACTGGGAAAAGTGGAACAAGCTGCACATGAGTGGGACACGCAGAACGATGGACAACATTATTTTCTTCACAACTGATTGATCGCTGAGTGATGATCAATGTCATATGTGTCAGGTCCTTCCTAGTGCAGATCGAATGCTACCGACCGAGTTACAATGTGGCCACTAATCTATGTGGCTCGACATTGCTTGCACTTTGTCGAGATGAGATATTGGTTGTAGGTTGTCAACGGGAAACTCTGGATCCCGGTTTAGTGCTGTTTGGCACCCGTCAGGGCTATCCGGTCCGTGACTGAACTTCTGTGTTCACAGTTGATTTATCACCAGTTGGTGATCAGAGTCATGTGTGCTATCGACTAAGTTGCAATGTGGCCCATAGTCTAGGTTACTCGACACTACGTGCACTACGTTGAGATAAGATGGTGGTGAATACATTTCAGTCCTGCAGGAGGTCAGTCGCGTCCCGCATAGCCCAGTGGTAACATCTGATTATAAAGCTGGGTGACATGAGATTGAATCCGTCAGAGAGCATCAGTTTACTTAAGGTTACAGGTACACCTTGCTGACGAGTGCCAAATAGCACTAAGTCGGGGTCCAGAGTTTCCTGTTGACTACCTCTAATAACCATCTAAAGACTATTTTGTGATAAGTTTGCTTTTTTGTGCACGAACCACGTCTTTCAATTTTCGAATACATCTTTTGTGCTAGTACATCGCGTTCTCGCTCCTGAGGCATTTACCAGTCCTGATTGTTGTGTTATTGTTTCAGATATCTTCCGCTTCCGAGTAAGCGTCAGTGATACGTGCTACAGAATTGCTGACTCTTCTTCAAACACCCGGTCACCCAGCCACCATTTAGTAATGCAAATTACAATCCAGTACCAGCACTACTCAGAAGCTCGCAACAACATTTCGCAGGTGTTATCTATTTTTAACAGAAACTACTATATTGTTAAGGAACCCATTACTGTTAGAAATGTCATAAGGAAATTAATAGGGTTTTAACGAATGAAAAACAAGTCGATTCAACAAATGTTAGAACTCCTCCCACATAATCGAAAACAGTAAGCCTCGCTTTGTTGCTATACTGCGAAAATCGACTATTTTGGGTTGCTTATTATTCAAAGAGGAAGAAGTGAGGAGAAGAGATATAGATGTTGATTAAAGTGTCTTCAGAAGCATACTATGAGGTTAGTTATGACCTTTAGTCCGAGCACTAGTGCATTTATAATAGCTTTAATGAGTTTTACAGAGAGGAGATGTAATCCTCCAAAAATCCACAATGACAACAGAACTTGTCGTTTACTATCTGAAGCGGTTATTCACACTTTGTCAAAAATTAGTTGCTAAAACCAGGTTTCGTTAATTTATTTTCGATACTAGTACCATAAAATCAGTTATTTTTATGAGAAATACTTTTTTTCTTTATGATGTTTATTTAAAACTAACATGTAGTGTAACCAATGAGATTTCTAACCACCAGTTACTCACTGTGTATGCAATCAATATTTCATTGAGGAAAGAAGGTGGCAGTTGAGTCAATTTTTCTTTCTTGGTTCGTCAGTCGGGGCATCTGTACTTAAGCTAAAGGAGCTTATGATGCTGGACGTTCGCGTTTCTCTACGCGCTGATCTTCCTATCGGTACATTAGTTCAGTTGTGCGGTATGGCAACCTCAACCGATGCATATATGTGCCTGGTCTTACGTTGCAGCTGACTGACTGACTCAGTTGTGCTCACTTTGTTCTATCGAAGAGTAAGGTATTACAGAACTTTTATACTTTTGTTTGAATGCATGGATTTTAATGTATTTGCGACTCGTTCTACCACAAGATATGCAAAGGGAATGATAAGAGTGAAGGGGATGGGTAGTATCTGATAAAATAACACCTACCAGGAGTTTGCATAACTTCAGATGTTTATTCGCAACCATATTAATTATGACCTCGAAAGATTCGCCAAACACCTTGCTAACTGCTCTTAGCACTTTCCGCACTACAGCAAAGCCTTTTCTCAAAAGCCCGGGAAAGAATAATGGAGAACAGTAAAGAATAATAGGTAATATGCAAGAATTGACAAGTTGTAAGAGTAAATGACGAGTAATTCCAAGAGCATGCAATCTCTTTATGTAATAGGTCAGACGGAAAACCTTCTTCGATAACGATAAAACGTAAGAAGACCAAGAGAGATCAGAGGAAAAGGTGACACCAAGATAATTGACCTTCCACACTGAGTTTATCAAAGAGTCTCCGATGGTACAAGTACTATGGGATCTCAAAATGGTGTTTAGATTCCGTTCATGTCTCATGCTAAAGTTAACAGCTTGACATTTAGACGGATTAAGTATGAGACCATTACCAACAGACCAACAATCAATACGAGACAAAAACTCATTCATTTCCATGGGATGTAAAGAGGAAGATATAGGCATACATACAGTGAGATCATCCGCATACTTCACAAAAGTGTTTTCTGTGGAAGATGGCAGGTCATGCAGAAAAAAAGAATAGATAAGGGGAAAGAACAGCTCCTTGTGGTACACCTTCCTGAGACAGTAGAGACTCTGAACTCTTTCCTCCAAACACAGTGTACTGTTCCCTTCCAGAGAGGTAGGAACATAGCCAGTTGGTTATCCAGTTGTCAGTTTTGACGCTGATCAACTTGTTAAGTAAACGTTGTCTTGATATAGAGTCAAAAGCTGAAGTATAGTTCAGAAAAGCACATCGAACATACTTTTTACCCTTTTCTAAGTTGAACACTATGTTGTGATGCAGAACTGCAACAGCATCTAAAGTGCTTCTTTTGCTCCTGTATGCAAACTGGTATGGGTCAGTATGCTCTTTTATCGCAGACTGAAGTTATTGCAATAGGTCTAAATTTTACATTCTTATCACCAAATGCTTTCTTGGGTACAGGAATTATCTTCATCTTTCTCCACATTTTCGGTATGAGAAGGATCTGTTAAATATAGTTGTGAACGGATGACACAGAACGTCAGCACATTTTTAAAAAGGATGTTTGGGATACCATCAGGTCCCAAACATCGAGATGAATTAAGTGACTGGAGACATCTTCGAACATCAGTTTCAGTGAAACTAGGATTACAGCTACTATTTAAACCTGTGGATAGAGAGAGCATCACATCAGATGACTGACGTACAAAAGACTTATTTAAGTCACAAATATTCAGCTGGTTATCGCTTCTAAACTTTCTGTCACCTGTAAGTTCTTTAAAGAATTTCCACATACTTGGAGAGTTTTTGCAAGATAAGAGCTTTTGAGTAAACATACAGTTGAGACGTCTAATCTCTAGGTTTATCAGACCATTTAGTTTGCGAACTTCATTACAGTTCTTCTCCGTGTACATTCTTTCTTTCGTCCTCCGTAGTCGTTTTAGTTGTGAAGATGTAAGTCGATCAAAACTTACAAAAATGGTTTCAGTGGGATAACAAATATCAAAACAGAATTTAAGGTAACAAGTGATAACATCAGTAGTGTTTTCGAGTGAGTCATCTGTAAATAATTCCCAGTTAGTCGTATGAAACATGTTTTTCAGATGTCGGATATTTTCTTCTGTGTAATTGCTATATTTGACTTTCCTGGTTTGACGTAAGAGTGTACTCTTCCCATGCTTTCCATATACTTTAGGTAGAACACGAATTATACAGTGATCTGAGCTAGACAATGGAGCATGTTTACGAGTCGCATATATACCCACATCATTCATGAAGACGAAATCTAAATGAACATCCAAACGAGTAGGAAAATCTACTACATTTTGGTGACTTAGTGACGTAAGGAAGCTACAGTCACATGAATTGAAATCACCACATACAACTGAAAGTGAATCACTGAAGGCAGTAACTGCGAACTCAGTGAATTCATCAGCGAAAAGAGATAACACAGATGATGTGCAGTCTGGACTCACGTAGATATTGGTAACATAAACAAATTTGTATTTACTCATCTGTTTTGGACTACATCTTAGAGTTAGACAGTCGATAAAGTCATTTAAAAACTTGATACACTATAATATTTCAATTATTTGAATTATAGGATGAAATAGGAATCCCAGAATTACCTCAATTGAATTAAGAAGTAAGATACAACCACAAACGGATGTATTGTATTTGGAATTCGAAATCGAGCATTCAACAAGTACAAAAGAATCATTAGTTAATTCAGACACCACATCCGCCACAGCTTTTATTGGAGTCTAGGTGTTTGTAATCAATCGTACGTCTTCTTTTCAAATTCATCCTGAGTCTGTCTGACATTGTATTGGATAAGAATTCTGTATTATCTAGAATATGCTCATTAGCATTAGAATTAACAATCAAAATTGGAACTGACTCACCTGGTACCTGAAATTGTATTTGATCTACATATCGACTGTGTGTACTTAAGTCATCGATGTCTAGAATTCTCACCATCGATTTTCCGACATTCTGCAGAACAATACCCGTAGATGGTCGAAGATCATTTCCTCGATAGTATGTAACTTCTGCAGACTCCAAACATCTCATATTCGACCGAAGAATTCTTCCTTTCAATAGCTTCGCTGGAGTCTCCTTTGTCACCGAATGTCTGGCATTTCTATATTGCAATAGAAAGGTATTTACTCCCCTCTCCAGCTCATTAAATGTTGAGGGGGCTATAGAATCAATAGCAGTCTTTAATGTCCTAACAAAATTCTCTGCCTGACCATTAGAACACGGATGTCTGGGAGCAGTGAACAGATGTTTGCACTCTATACCGTTCAACCAGGTAGTGACTGCATCTGCAGCAAAATGTGAGCCATTATCAGTTACCGAACCATGGGAACCTCTTCTCGACTAAACACCTTCCTTAATGCTTGTATCGTGAAATCAGAATTTGGTGAAGTTGTGAAAAAAACTTCAGGCCACTTTGAAAAAGAATCAATAACTACTACTTCGTAGTATTTACCAAGAAATGGTCCACAATAGTCAGCATGAATTCTCTGCCAGGTCTCGGACGATACTGGCCATGGCATCCACCTCGAAGGATGATTTTTCAACTGATGACATTTCTCACAATTGTTTGCCGTACGACATATATCTGCATTTATCTCTGGCCACCGGCATATGAGCCTTGCCAAGGGCTTCATTTTCTCAACACCTAAATGACCACTATGAAGATCTTTAAGAACAGATTTACGCAATGAAGGAAGAATGACAACACGATCATCTAAACACAGAATACCATCAGGAGTAGTAGATAGCTCATCCCGCTTTGAAAAATAGATAGGAAATCTCCGTTTCAAATAAGCATTCCAACCTTTCCTTATAGCACTGAGTATACATCCAAAATATCTACGAGTTTCTCTAATGAGATCTGAACGTCTCACTGGTAAAGGTTGCACTAACAAACAATCCGAAGTATTAATAGGTTTATCTTGTAATGACTGTCGAGAAATGTAATCAACATGTTGAATCTGTTTGGCACTTCTGTGCTGAACCGTATAGTCATATGCACTCAAAGCAATACTCCGTCGCTGAACCGTAGCTGCTGAGGAACGTGCTAAGGATTTTTCGGGATGATAAATAAACTTTAAAGCTTCATGATCAGTAACAATAGTGAATTTCTTTCCGAATAAATATTTATGAAGTCTTTTAACAGCCCAAAAAACAGCTAATGCTTTTCTCTGAGTCTGTGAATAGCCTTGTTCAGAAACAGTAAGTTTGCGTGAAACACAAATAACTGGTCTACCTTCCTGTTTCAAAACTGCAACAATTCCCACAGGTGATGCATCAGTAATAAGCACAGAATGTACATTAGGGGAGTACGTTCGAAGAACAGCATCACTTTGAAGAAACTTCTGCAGACTTCGTAAGCATGACTCTTGTTCCTCACTCCATTTGAATGAATTGGATGTTAAAATATTAAATAAACAATTTTCACGACAAGAATAATTATGAATAAAACGGGAATAGTATTGAAGAGCACCCACTAGTGAACGTAATTCCGTAAGATTTTTCGGAGACGGTGCATTTGACAGTGGAGCTAGTCGTTTCATATCTGATCTAAAACCATTACCATCAACTAGGTATCCAAGGCATTCAAAACTAGATAAACAAAATGAACACTTATTTGGATCCACTGTAATATTCTTCTCAATTAAACGACGCAATAAAGCAATAAGTCTCTGGTCATGAACTGCCTTATTAGAACCATGAACAATGAGATCATCTTGATAAGCTTCAACACCTTCAAGATCACTAACTACTTTATTCATAACTTCCTGAAATATGGCTGGAGAACAACTTAGACCAAATGGAAGGAAATTGCATTTGAACAGACCAAAAGGAGTGTTAATTGTCGTCAAAACAGATGAAGATTCATCTAAAGGAATTTGAAGATAAGCATCTTTTAGGTCAACTTTCGAGAACACTTTAGAACCATGAAGTCGATTTAGAATATCTTCAGCTTCTACCGTCGTGCACGTTTGTTTCAACAAACGGGAGTTCAGAATTAAACTAGTCACCACAAATTCTAGGGGCTTGCCGTCCGCCTTCAGTGGCGTAACGATAGGAGTACCCCATGCTGAAGACTGAATTGGTTCAATTATGCGTTTCTCACACAAATCGTTTAAAGTCTTATCTACTGCTTCTCGAAGACCATAAGGAATTATTTGTCTTTTAAGAAAAACTGAATAACCATGTACTTGAAGCTTTATAGGATGAATTTTCATACCTTTACTGCAATTAGCACTCGTAGCTATCAAATCTTTAAGTACAACATCAACATTTTCTTTAGAAACTAGAAAAGACAACTCCACCTTAAGCCTTTTCAAATTCCTCAAGCACAGTATTGACAGTCCTGTTTCGCTAACTAAAAATCCACAAGGCATGTATGAAGAATATTCAACTCTTATTAGCAAATCACAGCATCGTTGTATGGGCAGTCTGTGTCCAGTAATCCTCAATATTGATACTTCAGTGGGTCGTACAACAACGCTAGGGTCTAAAGATTTCAAGTTCTTGAATGAAATAATGGACTCTATACTGCCTGTGTCCAGAATAAAGTCGTTTTTGAGTATGAGCATTACCTTTCAAAATAGTAGACAATGATAAATGATCACTAGAAACATCCGAATTATTGAAATTTAAATTACAAGATTTAGTACAGCTTGAAGCAAAATGGATAGTAGCTTTGCATACTGACTGAATGTGTCCTACCTTACCACATTTAAAACATTTAGCATTACGAAATACACATGAATTGCGAGCATGAAAATTTCCACATGATAAACATTTAACAAACTTCATCTCACCTTTGTGATTTGCTTTGTAATTCCTCGTTGAAACACCTTTCATATTTACACGAGAATAGGAATCACTGTTAAATGAACGCAAGTTTGATTGACCCTGAGATTGTAGTTCATCACGACGACTAAGCAAAGTATTAGAAATCTTCATCCACTGGATATCAAGTTCATTGACTGCTTCGTAGTTAATACATGAAGTTCTAGCATCTTGAAAGGAACAGTTTGGCATTTTTAACAGCTCTCTTTCCAAACTCTGTATGTTAATTCCTGCAATTAATCGATCTCTCAGTTGCACATGAAGTTGATCACCGAAATTACACTTGGCAGCTTGTTTCTGTAATTCAAGGATGAATTCCCGAACCTTTTGGTCATTTTGACGAACCATCTTATGAAACTTCGCCCTTTCACGGCATTCAAAACTGGTGCATTTTACATGACTTAATAATAGCTCTTTAAGCGTTGCATAAGGGAGTGAGATAAATTTTTCTGGATATGCCAAAGTTTTTAATAAGCTGTACGCTTCTCTCCCAATGAATGTCCGAAAATGTGCCACAAATTTATCATCTTTCACATCTTTCTTGGTCATGCTCCAGATTTCGAACCTTTCCAAGTAATCCTCAAAAGCTTCAGGAGTTGAATGAAGATCTAACTTTTCCATCGCGACGGCAGTATAATATTTGTATTATTTGAATTGTATTATGAGCTAGGGATACCAGAATTAACGCAATTGAATTAAGAAGTAAGATACAACCACAAACGGATGTATTGTATTTGGAATTCGAAATCGATCATTCAACAAGTATAAAAGAATCATTAGTTAATTCAAACACCACAAACCCGCAAACGAAAATCGACACCAGTTTACGTTTACAAACGTAGCTACACCGCCCGCCAAACCTCTTTTTATTGTTTGATCGACCCTGACGATAGCTTTTGAAATAACGTATTAACAACACCATACATTATGAATTTAAACCCGTTACATTGTAGGCTTTTCATAAACGCGGCTGTATAGGTTTTGCGATTAATGGACGTATTGAGACGTTAAAACAAAATAAAAAATAGATAAATCGTTGAAATAATTAGATGGCAGAAACAGGTAACCCAGATTTTCAATGTAGTATAATACCTGGTCAGTAATTAGCTCACGACCGCGAACAGTTTGCTGTAGTCTTGCGGTTTTCGAAGGTTATCTTCTCACTGCTTTTCAGCCAATAAACGTATGAGCTTATTTGAGAACTCTAAAGAAGTCAGTGATAATGGATCTTGTGAGAAATTAATAGTAAAAAATGGTCAGGTAAAGAATTATATGACCCTAAAAGGGAATAAACATATTTCAACACCCTTTCACGTTAACTAGTTATTCAAGTTCTTAAATGATAATACCTAAGTCACCACGGCTATATCAGTAATTAGATATACAGAACAAAGTTACAGACTTGATGAATCTTGTCCTCCATTCTTCATTTAAAAGACCCACTTCTCAATATTTATGAGTGTTTTACGATTGCCCCAATATAATTAGCATGAAAAACCACGTAGTCTAGATAACCTCCGCCAATGAGTAGCATCATCTGCAGAACTTATCAAAGACGCGTCCGTGGAGTCCTGTGTCCTTGAGACATACATATTTATGGAAGGCGTGAACAGACCGAATATAATTCTGAATAATTGTGGCAAACCAAATGCATCAATACCAAAATTGTGATACATTTATTGCAAAAAGCATAGAAACAAATGATTATATACAAAATATACATATAACAAAATCATTGGACGTTATTTAAACTCAGTTGGTAACGTGTTCTAAATTTTGTTCTCGTTGTCTATAATTATAAAAAGAAATCAACCATTTCAATAAGATAAAATCGAGGAATATTTACTTATTTACTTACTTACATCTGTTACTCCTCGTGAAGGAGCATAGGCCGCTCACCAGCATTCTCCATCCAACCCCGTCCTGAGCAATCCTTTCCAGCTCCTTCCAGTTGTTATTCACCTTTTTCACATCTGCTTCTATTTCCCGACGTAATGTGTCCTTTGGCCTTCCTCTTTTTTGCTTCCCTTCAGGATTCCAAGTTAGGGCTTGCCTCGTGATATGGTTTGATGGTTTACTTAATGTATGTCCTATCTATTTCCATCGTCTTTTCCTAATTTCCTGTTCAGCCGGAAGCTGGAATAAGGATATCAATATGATATGTAGACGTAGATAGCACTTGTATTATAGGTATGTTAATGAGGCTGTTGATTAGATGAGAACGAGAACTGTGCGAGCACCAGTGTGTTTACGAGAGATAATCAGTTTGTCATGTAAGCAGACAACAAAACTTTAACGAAAAGTCAAAGTTAACTTGAAACAACAATTTTAAAATCAATAACAGTGACTGCACAAGTTCAGTGAAATTATTAAAAATGTGAGTGGTGACAAAGAATACTCACAAAATAGATGTATGTTGACCATCTTGACACTATTAAACTAAATAAATAATCACAACTAAACAAATCATATTGAACTTAATAAACTGACTAGAAAAAATGTTGATTTGCTGTTCCTCCACTGTTTTACTTTTGTTATCTCAATTGGTTAATGCTATAGATTTAACTGTAAATCAATATACGTAGCAGAATAATATCAGCAATACAGACTGCCTTTCTGCTTTAAATGAATGATGGTACTGTGCTAATATCAGTGATTAATACATTCATGGTTTTGAAATTTGGGTATTATTAATCTAAATAAGAGGGTTTTATGTTATTTCTGTGTAATATTGTTAAAAACCTTGTAAATATTATGCTTTATTGTGACTTTTAAGATATTTTATATTAAATCATCTACTGTTATTATCATTTGGTTTATTTTAGTAATAATATCATTAGATAAAATAAAACAACTTGCACCAACCATAACTGCTGATCATGTGTGTGTTCGGTTTTTGACAAATTATTTGGTATGTTCTTTTTACTTTTATCTACATGAACACCAAGTAGTTATCGGATACCTCGATGTATCTTCACTTACATCGATGCACCTAGACAATTGTGGACACATGGTAGACTAGGAAAATGTCTAAATTCTTGACAAAGAGAGCACTAAGAAGGGCAGATAATTTTTAGACGTATAGGTCACCAATGTAGATGACCTGTGTCAAATGATTGGGGGCCTACTCGAGTTAGATGGGAATGGTGTGACGAACTAGCTAACTTCTAAGTCAGTCGGCACCTAACGTGGATTACCCTTTCGTAGTATCAAGGTACTATCGCTGCTTTGAAGACCGTATAACACAAGGGACGTTATTACAGAAATATATTGTTAAGAGTAGGTAGAAGAAAGAGTTTAAAACCACCACCCCACGGGCCAGTTCATGGCGTGTGGTTAATTGATGCGCGTTGGTTATCCTTGAACTTGATAAGGATCGGTGAACTTTTCGATACTGAGTGATCCAAATGCCGGTGATTTGAGTAAGGCCCAGTGACATTTCACTGTCAATCAGCAATCCAGTCCAATTTATCGACCAATAAACAACCTTGAACAACTATGAGTTTAAAAGTTAAGTTAAAGAAAGTGAGAAATAAAACAAATGTGATAACAATGATATGACAAAGGACAACAGCAGCTAATCAAGGTCAAGGTTGACAGAACAGACTGTCAGTCACATTTGAGGAAGTTCGAATACCTCATTTTTATCTGGAGTTTGTGATATTATGGTCCAGAAGGACATTGAAGACTAGACCACTCAGATCATAAAAAAACTCAGTCAAAGTCATCTATATGAGTTACGAATCTTCATCATCTCAAATATGGTGAATATTAAAAGTGATCATTCATTAGGTATGCGTACTGGCACCAACAACTTTACAGTTAGTGTTAAATATGTGGGAGATTCTTATTTGAAAGTATGAACTCTTTATCAATAATGACATAAGAAGTATTATCGATAATGATATAGTACTGAGGCAATAAACCTCAGTAAAATGGTTAGAGTGAGGTTACATGGGACTCAATTTAAAGTCGAGGTGACTTGTAATCTATGTATTTTATGCATAAAAGACTAATCTATAATGATTGTATTAACGGAATCTTGAAACACCTGAGTTGTTCAAATATGCAGCAATTTGTATTAGAAGGGGTTTTGTGGAGAGTGTAATAATTTCAGTAGTCGAGATCATGAGTGAATTGAAGCTAGACCACCATGGAAAACCTGGGAGCACTGGACGGCGATCTCGTCCTATTGCGGGACCCCTCAGCAGTGCGCATCCGCGACCCCGCCTCGCGGGACTCGAATCCAGGACCTATCAGTCTCACGCCAGGCGCTTAACCACTAGACCACTGAGCCGGCATCTAACGGTGTTAATTTCTAATTTCAACTAATCCACGGTATTGAGCGATACATCCACCATTGTCATCGGTGAGTTCCTATCTCACAACCGACCCGGTTGGACTCCACTGGTCACTGCTTCTCACTGGAACTCAACGAAATATCGCTTGAAGTCAGTTACTAGTGAGAATATGTTGATTAGTATCAGAAGTAGTTTTGTGGAGATTGCAGTAATTT